TGGCAGTACACGGCCTAACAGTTCACGAGCTGTGCCCCCCATTCACGAGGGCGCTCGCCCGCCTCCCCCGCACGGGTTGACAGTTTGCGGAGCGTGCTCCCCCCCCTCTCGTCAGAGTTGTGTAAAGGCTGACGGGTAATACTGGATTTTGACGAAAATGTTACGATCCTGTCCGTCAAAAAGTCGGGCAGCGAAAAAGTTGAGCGCAACCTCTTGTCCGTAGCTTTAAAAAAGAAGAAAAATAGAAATAATAAAAATGAAAGAGGGGGGGGGAGGGGGGGGGCTAATGCCTGCTCAGAATTCTACTGAGATACTCAGCTAAATGCTGCCGTGATTAATCGCCACATCAAGGATTATTTTTGAAACAGTATGGAGTTCAAACTCTTTTTCTCTCAGGTTTACCACAAGTTGAGATCCTTTTTATATTTCCTGCTTCTTCACACACATGCTCTCCAGTACAGGTTAGCTCTGAGTGTTAGCGATGCTAATGTAAACACCGACCATATTACGTCCAAAACAGTCGGGCATTATTTCTGATAGCAACTTTCTGATAGGGCCGTGGGTCCACATTTTAGATATTACGTCATATCGGCAGCAAATCCGGACGCAGCTCCGTTGTTCCCCCGTTTTTAGAGATTTGGGTACGGAGGAAAAGAGAGAGGGTTTCTGATGCTGCGTGAGTTCCCTGACACACCGGGGACACATGTTTATATATAAAAGGTGTATTTTTCATAATAGGACACCTTTAAAACACTGTGATCATACACTAACACACACTGTATGCCTCTCTCCTGACTGTCAGCCCCCTCCTGTTATCTCTCTCTCTTCATCAGGCGGTGAAGTCTCGCTCGGGCCCTGGAGAGCACCTGAGGAACTCTCTGTGGCACACCGGAGACACCAACGATCAGGTGCGTCTGCTGTGGAAAGACCCCAGGAACGTGGGCTGGAAGGACAAGGTGTCGTACAGATGGTACCTGCAGCACCGCCCGCAGGTCGGATACATCAGGTACGGGAAAACACGTGCTAGATACTCGACGTATAGTACATATCAGAACCAGATGTCCAGGGGATGTCCATAGCAGAAGTGTAGTAGCCATTACCAATACTGGTGAAATCTCAAGATGCCTTTTTGTGGCTTTACAATTAAACTATGGAGTCTTAAAGTAAAAGCAGGGTTGGAGTTATGTGGGAGCCAATAAGGAGGGTCTGAGCTCCCATAAGAAGGGTCTGAGCTCCTTTACCAGGTCGCTATACATTACCAACAACCATTATTTTAATCACAAATAACGCATTTTTCAATGTAATGAGTATTATTTACGTTAATGAGGTAAATCGGCTAAAAGAAAAACATGTTTTCCAAAAGAACTACGCATCGTATTTTCGTTAGCGTTAGTTTTAAAGACCCCCATAAAGCTCAGATTATAACTAGAACCATGAGTAAAAGGTAGACATGTTGTGTTTTTGTTTAGGGCGCGGTTTTATGAAGGAACCCAGCTGGTGGCGGACTCTGGAGTAACGATCGACACGACCATGAGAGGAGGACGACTCGGAGTGTTCTGTTTCTCTCAGGAAAATATCATCTGGTCCAATCTGAAATACCGCTGCAATGGTAATAAACAAATCCACATATTGTATTACTTTCTCACCTTTTGAATGCCTGTGATTGCTTGCTATGGAGCCCTCGTCTTTGTTTGAATACATATCTTCTGAAACTCCTACATATCTTGTGTCTGAAAAGTAGGACAGCATTTTAATGACGATGCATAAAAAGACTACAGATGTGAATATTATTAGTTCGTCCTCAGTCGACTTTATCTCGTCTCGTTAAACTTTCTCTCACTTCCACAGACACAATCCCCGAGGATTTCCAGGAGTTCAGCACTCAGCACGGCGGAGACGCGCAATGAAGACACAACAGTCTCCAGATCTCTAAAGACTGCTTCTCAGTGTGAATGTGAGAGAGGGTTTGAGTGTGTGTGTGTTTGTAGATGTGTGTGTGAGAGTGTTGATGTGTAAAGTTCAGTGCATACATGACCAAACTCTTTGAGCATATTAACTTCTTTTTTATCGACTGTTTAATCATCTCTTACTCCAGCTGAGCTTGATATGCTGAACATTGTAAGTTATAATGGTGTTTAATGAACATAATGCAGCATATCACATGGATATATTTTCAAAATAAAAGGTTACTTCTTTATAAAAACAGTATTTTCTCACACAGATGTGTTTAGCTTAATTTTGGGAGCATTATAAACTTGTTCAAACAGCTGGAAAGAAACGTTTTTTAACATTTTGATTGCAAACAGGTTGTTTTTGTTTTGTACAATTCAAATTACAGACTGTTCCTTGTCTCACTTCCTGTAGAAGATAAACCTAAAGCTCATGTTTTCTCTTTCCAACATCATTTCATGTCTATGTTCTCATGAACCTGGTCAAAATAAAGTGATTTAAAGAGTCCCCTCCTGTTTATATTGAGGTGTATATCAGTATGTAGTGTCTCTACTTTAAAGAGTCCTCTCCTGCTGATGATCAGGGGCCGTATTCACAAAGGATTTTAGGGCTAAAAGTAGCTCCTAACTGGCGAATTTAGGAGAAACTCCTAAGCATAATGGGCGTGTCAGTCTTAAATTTAGGACTCCTAATTGTATTCACTAAGAGCAATTCACAAAGTATGTTAGGCCTAAAAGTATCACCTAAGTCTGGGAGAGCTTAAAAGTCCTCGAGAGGACTCCTAACTCAGTAAGACCTATTCACAAAGAATCTGAAAATGGCTGAGAGACGAAATGTTTTGGAGACAATGGAAGACTGTGAATTGATCAAGAGACATAGGCTAAATCGTGAGGGTATCAAACTTGTTGTGGAATTAGTGCGGGATGCAATAACATCCCCGACTAACAGGAATAACCCGATTAGTCCGGAAATAAAATGTTTGGCAACACTACGATATTTAGCAACAGGGAAAATGCAACTTTGCAATGCCGACGATTTAGGAATATCGCAACCATCAGTCAGCTGTGCCATAAACCAAACCATCAACGCGCTCTCTAGACCACATATCATCCAACAGTTTATCCGGTTTCCTTTGGACAATCAACAACTACACAGGATCAAAGCCAACTTCATGGCAATGCAGGTATGCCGGTCGGTGCTATTGACGGGACGCACATAAAAATAATTGCGCCATCAAAAGATGAGGACGTGTTCGTCAATAGAAAGAAAGTACATTCCATCAACACGCAGATTGTTTTCATTCATCATGATAGGGGGACTTGAACGTCCCATTCGGCTGTTATTGTCAGTGTTTAAGTTCTGCAAGTATGCTCCTTGGACAATC